GAGTAGAAAGCTCCATCTTCCTCCTGAGGAGATGCTGGTGGTTTTGAACTGTTGACCTTTTGGTTTGTAGCCCAGCTTGTAACCACGATGACACCATACTGAGAGTTGACCCCTGGAGTTAGTGATGGGGAGGCCACTGGTCACCTTGACAAGAGCAGTTTTGTTGTCTTGTAGAATCTGTATGATTAATGTTTAAAAAATCATGATGACTGTGGAGTAGAGAGGGAATTGAAATGATTGTGAAAAACTGGCTTTCGGGTTCTTGCAGCAGCGCAGGAGTGAGATGACGATGATGGCTTGAACCAGGGGGGGAGCAGTAGACATCATGAGAAGTAGAAGAATTTGGAAGTGACAGGATTTGGTTATGGATCAGAAGTCAGACGAGGAGATGTCAGTCATGCTGGGTGTTATGGCAGGGTTCTCCGGAGAAACACCCACATGGAAGGATACGCCATACATAGGATTTCTTTTAAAGTATTGGCACACAACATTGGGGAGACTGGAAAGTCGGAAACTAGCTGGCTGGGAACACAGGCGAGAATTGGTGTTCCAGTCATGAGCTCCAGATCGCTAGGACAAATCAGCAGACTGGAAACTGAGGCAGGGCTTGTAGGTTACACCCTCGAGAGTAGATTCCTTCTTCTCTGGGAAACCTAAGTTGTTGTTCTTAAGGCCTTCCATTGATTGGCTAAGGCCGATCACATGAAATAACCTCCTTTATCAAGTCAACTGATGGTGGATGTGAACTCCAGTTACAGTACACTTTCATGGCAACATCTAGACTAGTGTTTAACTCAACAACGGGGCACACTAGCCTAGTGAGGTTGACACATAAAATTAGCCATCCCCGATGCCTCCCAGATGCGTGCCTTTCGGACATGGGTGGATGCTCGGTGCTATAGAGTCAGTTCAGACCCACGGTGACACTAGGCACAGCGTGTAATGAAACGCTGCCGAGTCACGTGTCGGTCTAGCTCATTGAGAGCCTGCCTCTTTGTCGCTGTCCCTCTGCTTTACCAAGCATGCAGTCCTCTCCAGGGACCCCTCTCTCTTGACAGCATGTCCAGAGTGTGTAAGACGACGTCTCGCCGCCCTGGCTTCTAAGGCGCACTCTGGCTATACGTCTTCCGAGGCAGGTGTGTATAGTTAACGGAGCCATTTTCTAGTAAAGGACTCTCTGAACCAGCTCGGAAGGAGATCATGCATGAAGTTTTGGGTGTTTCTAGTTTAAAGTGTGTTCAGTGTGTTCAGGTGGAGATCTTGGATTAAGGGATCAGAAACTCAGGGAAATGCCCAGATTGCCCATCCAGCTTTAGGGTTAATGGCATGTAGGTGATCAGTAAAATTGTGGCCATGAAAGAAATCACCTTAAGGAGAATGTATAGAGTGAAGAGAATTGAGTCTTAGACTGAGTTACTGCATTTAGAAGCTAAGGAGACTAAGCTCAAGAGGATTAGAAAAAAATGACGAGGAAAGACAAAACCAAAAGAGCCCTTCTAGACAAAATAAGGGGCCACTTCCTTTGAAAAGATGAATCCTACACCAGGGGTGTTGGAAATAAGACCATGGAGGCCACTGGCGGTGTTCTCAGGAGCTGTTTAGAGAAAGTGATAGGTCCTCAGCCTTCCTAATGCCGCCACCCTTTAATACAGTTCCTCATGTGGTGGTGGCCGCCCCCAACCATAAAATTATTTTTGTTGCTACTTCATAACTATGATTTTGCTACTGTTATGAATCAGGCGACTCATGTGAAAGGGTCCTTCGACCCTCAAAGGGGTCACAACCCACAGGTTGAGAACCTCTATGATAGGATGAACGTCAGTTAGAGTGGGCTGAGGAGTGATCAAACATCATTCAGTGGAGAAATTTGACTGCTAACTGTGAGACCCAGAGAACACTAGTGCCGAGAAGCAAGGTGGTGGTGGTGTTTCTCGGGAAGTTGCTTTGTTGTTAATTGTTTGTTCATTGAATTTTGTTTTCAAGTTGGGTGAGATTGGGGATGTTTGCACGCTGATGGGAAGACCATAGCAGGTGGCAGTGCCTGAGTGGGTGGGAAGGAGCGGGATCGGGGGCTCCGCTGACTTTGAGCAGGAGAGGGAGCAGGAGTCTGTAACAGGATAGAACCGGGAGAGGATGTGAGCAGATGCAGGCACACTCTAGGACACCAGGTGGCAACATTCACATTGTGGTCCCTTAGGCCTGGTGAAGGAAGTTGTGCTTAGATGGGGACAAGCTCTAAGGCATCTATTTTGTTCGTGAGGTAGGAACCCAGTTCATCATCCGCTGAGAGGGAAATAGGAGTTGTTTAGAGGAGCAAACTCCAAATCAAACTCTCTGCCATCGACTCAATTCCAACTCACAGTGACCCTACGTTGATGTGTTTAGGGGCCATCGGCCCTAGTAAGCACAACCAAACACTGCCTGGTCCTGCACCACCCTTACAATTGTTCTTATGCCCGAGCCTGTTGTTGCAGCTCTGTGTGTGAATCCGTCTCCTGGAAGCCCTTCCTCTCTCTTTTTATTTGTTGCTGCCCCTCCACTTTACCAAGCATGACGCCCTTCTCTAGGGCCTGGTCTCTCCTGACAAGATGTCCAAAGTATCTAGGAGGATGTCTCACCAGCCTTGCCTCTAAGGAGCACTCTGGGAGGAGTTCTTTTCAGAGTTTGTCATTTCGGCAACCCAGGGTATGTTCAATATTCTTCGCCAGCACCGCAATCCACAGGCATCGATTCTTCTTCGGTCTTCCTTATTCAATACCCAACTTTCACAGACATGTCAGGCAATGGAAAATACCATTGGGTCAGGTGCACCTCAGTCCTCAATATAACATCCTTGCATGTCAGCAGATGCAGGCACACTCTAGGACACCAGGTGGCGACATTCACAGTGTGGTCCCTTGGGCCTGGGGAAGGAAGTTGTCTATATTCTGAAGAGGTCTTGTGCAGCAGATTTACCCAATGAAATGTGTCTCCCTACAGCTGCTCCTGTATCATTGATTGTGAATCCAAGCAAGGCAAAATCCTTGATAACTTCAACTGTTTTGTTGCCATTTATCATGATGTTGCCTATTGGTCCAGTTGTGAGGATTTTGGCCTTCTTAACAAGTGCTTCAAGTCCTCCTCATTTTCAGCAAGCAAGGTTGTATCATCTGCTTATCGCAAGTAGTTAGTAAGCCTTCCTCCAGGCCTGATGCCACCGTTTTCTTCAGATAATGCAGCTTCTCTGATGGTTTTCTCAGCATACCGATTGAATAAGTATGGTGAGAAGACACAACCTTGACACACACTTTTCCTGATTTTAAACCATGCAGTGTTTCCCTGTTCTGTTCACACAGTGCCTCTTGATCCATGTACAAGCTCCCAATAAATACAATGAAGTGCTCTGGAATTCCCATTCTTTTCAAGGTTATTCTTGGTTTGTTATGATCCACTGTAAGATCCTATAGGGTAGGCTAGCACTGCCCCTGTGGGGTCTGGGATGGTAATTCTTTATAGGAATAGAAAACCTCATCTTTCTCTTACTGGTTGCTTTTGAACTGCTGACCTTGTGAACTGCTACCCACCAAGCTCCCATGAGGAGCAGGGCAAAGGTTTAAAAGTGATCGTGGAAAGTGGAAACGTGAATTTACCAGGAAAATGAATGAGACTGGCTGTGAGCTCCGGGCTCAGAAGCCCGGCCCCCCGCTAGGGAAGACTAGTGAGGACTAGTGGGGGCTATTGACGATAGTGGCTGAGCAGGTGGGGGTGAGGGGTGGGAAGTACCTTCCAGAGACGTTTAGGAAGTAGAGTGGAAATGTTATGCTGAGGAAGGCGGGGGGGCGAAAAAGAGATGGGAGCTGATGCCCAACTCCGTTTTGGGCTTAGGTGAATGAAGCCTCTGATGTTGGCAGGAACAGAGGAGCAGCCGGCTTGGTAGAGCAGAGCCTTCCAGGGGGAGGAGAGAAGGCACACAGATTTGAACAAAGATCAGGCTTTGGAAGAAGGAATATTCCAGTTGGTGGCAGGAGCAAGGCAGATCCTAGTTCCAAGGTAGTCCCCGTGTGGGGTACCAGACATAGTCAGCCCCGTGTCGGAGGAGCCGAGCTGTGGAGGAGGGTACAGGCCCAGGCCCACATGCAGCTGGCAGAGCTTCCAGCGCTGGCCAGTGCGCTCCAGAAAGCACATTGCCACCGAGTGGATTCCAGTTCATAGTCCCCCACACGGGGTTTCCAGATTGTAAATGTTTAGGGGAAACAGGCAGCCAGCCTCATATTTCACCCTCGGAGTGACTGGTCGGTTTAAACCACCAAGCTACACTTTGTAGCCTAACGCCAAGCTCACAGTGGCACCAGGGCGCCTACAGTGCTTGTCAGTCATCTTCGTTGTGCCTATCCTGTAACATTCTCTAGATCTTGCAAAGTTGGTGATAATTTAAATCATCGATGGCTATGGGCTTCGTCCAGTGAATCCCGTAAACCTAGCCTTCAGTGTCCCCACTGAGTCTATTGTTCTACAATTGGCTTCTGCAAATTCCAAGCAAGGATGTTTGGGATTTTGTGGGCAATCTGTTCCCTTACAGCTCAATCCCTCATGATGACATAAAGTTCACTTAATGTATGTCTTTAAATTTTTTTTTTCCTGCTTAGAATAAGGAATTTGAATGCTACAGCCCTTCTACCTTCTCAGACAGGTAGACAAAGTAGTACTTGACAGGGGAGGAGCGCTCTAAAGACGGAGGCCTTTTGTTCTTTTGCCACTTGAGCTTTGAAAGTAGAAAGTTTTGGAGAAATTACCTTGATTCCACGGTCCACAGAAGAGGGGGAAAAGTTACTTGCATAAGAACATTTCTTCTGAATATTTCTATAGTGCTAAAATGAATCCTAGAAAGAGTTTCTTCCTCCCCCCCTCCCCCCACTCCACCGCCATCTGCTCAGCTGAGTTGGGGAATCAGATGCACTATGTCCTGTGAATCTGTGACAGTCACTTCCGTCAAACATCTCTTCTGCCTAGGCTGCTGGAAAGATGGAAATGGCTAGCGATCTTTCACCAGGATTCTTCATGGAAGAACTCAACAAATATCGTCAGAAGAATAATGTGGCACTTACCTATCATGAGCTGTCTAACGAAGGACCTCCCCATGACTTAAGGTAAGTGGCTTGACAGTAGGCTGTGTCTTTATAAATATGAACTGAGGGAAGGCTCAACACTCGCGTAC